ACAGTGGTCGGCCGACCACCGTTGGAAATTTTTACAAAAATACAATTTTCTTGAAAATGACTTCACACCAGGTGCCATAATTTTACAGGATGCTTTAGACTGTCATTTACCAACATCCTAGTAAGGTATTTCGTAAAAACTAGGTAGTTTTATTTTTCGATGTTTGCAAATGTTGTATATTCCCTTTAAGCATGCAGGACAAGTCCCTTTAAGCATGCGGCACAGAGTGTGTTAATAGCGAGTGAATCACGGGTTGCCTGAATGCAACGTGCTGATAAGGGGAAGCGGTGCAAAGTTGTTGTCAGTTGTCCTGTCGTCCTGGAAGTGCCGACGTTCAATTGCGGAATCATAGGTGGACCCGTTCCTACACTTTGACCTTAACTCAGGTTACAGAGCTGCCCGGCCAAGAGCCAGATGCGTCAGTACTTTGCCTTGTTTAGAACATACTCATGTACGTTGGACACTTCAGAATTTCATCTGATGAAATAATAATACCTGTGGATTGAATAACCTGAATTTACATCCAGTGGGTAAGTTTATAATTTCATTGTGTATAAATCACTTGTACGGTACATGTACTTTTTGCAGAATTTACATAAATGCACTTGGCACCAGTAAATTACTTTTCTGAAAGAGGTTTTGTGTGCAAGGATTTCCACACAGACAACATTCATGTACCATGTACATAGTATGTACATACTACACGGTGTACATGTATAAAGTTGAACATTTCCCGACTTCCTGTGTCTTATGAAAGTTATTGTTCTTCCTCTTAATGTCAGGACTAAAACTTTGTTTCATTTTCGGGTAACATACAACCTTTACAAATATCAGATACCAGAACTACCAAATCATTATGACATACGGTACCTAGCTTACTTGTCTGTAAGTGAAGAATGGTCTCAAGCATCCTGTGAAATCATGGGGCCTGATGTGCTGTCATTGTAAAGGAACGACCATCATTGGAAAAAAAACTGACTTTTTTCAAATACTGCCCCTATTTACCAAATTTAGGCAGTTCACATTTTGCTTGCAATCAGTTTCACATCCGTGAACGGATGCAAGCCAGCTAGTCTGGTTACCTGAACTGACAATTCCCAGACGTCTATAAATTGCTCTGTTTTGTTGTAAGTAGGGTCAGGGAACCCGACCCTACCAGAAGAACAGCATTTTTGTCTTGGTTTTTCCAGCATCTATGAACACAAAACTTGAAACAGGTCAGTGCAACCATGGTGTAACAATATTTGCTTTAAAATAACGGGTACTAGCCCCCAAATCCATCCATTTCTGAAAATTACGGCAAAAGCAAATGTTGTATATTATTGCCTTTAAGTTTCACATTTCCTACGTCTCATAATTTTTTCTTCCTCGTAATGTCAAGACTAAACTTTGTTTTATTTGAGTTGAATATTCACAAAATACATACAGTGTAGTACACATTTCTGAGGACTCTTATCAAAACTGTCAATTCAATTATAACCAGATTTTCAATAGATATTTGTTTGTATGCGCACATGCAATGTAGAATTTGTACTATATTGTACACGAAGTATGAAGCTGCAAAGTGACATGTACCGGTACATGTACAGCAAATGCTATCAGAAATATTCTGGCCACACTACATGTATGTATACGTACCATATCTGTCTGAACAAATAATGTGCCGTAGAAAATATAACTATTCAAAGTGCATGTGACAGTTCAAAGTTGATTGTGCTTGGCCATTTTTTTGTCCAAGCAGATTTTGTGCCTAATTTGTTCACCCTTTCAAGTTGGTACCATGTGGAGACAGGGTAGTACGTGTACAGAAACCTGTTTACTTTTCAGGGCCAGTGGAATTTTTTTTGTTCCATTTGCAGTGATGACTCATTATCTATTCCATTCATTAGAAGACGCACCTGTACAACTGTTGCCATAAAAGGTATACAATCTTACGCCTGTGAACTTTAATGTTTATTTTTGAGGATTTGTTTATTTGCGGTGACTACATTTTTGTTTGGGTGTGGAAGGTTTGAAGAGCAAATTTAGTAAATTTGAAATTTGAATTAGGAATTTTTTTTTGTGAGTATTGAAAGCATTGAATGCCTTTTCAGAATTGAATCAGTTTTTGTGTGCTTATGGGCTCCGTGCACAAGTACTCCTTCAACGGCCAGAAAAGGAGAGTTGGGGGAGACCTAGACTGGTTCCCGGTCCATCCACTGCGTATTTCGAATGATCCCAAGTTATTGGGGACGAGGATTAGTCTGGGAGACCATCGCAAGTTAAATTCGAAGGTATTCCCGCGCTGACGTCGCCTGACGCTCACTCAAAGAGGCTGCGGCTAGATTTGGCACATTCTGGAAGTCGCGCGTACCTCACGTGCGAAAAGTACACACAAGCTGTGTATCCCATCCACGGAGCTCCCAAAAGTGGTAAAAAAGCGCCCTCTTTTGTTGGCGGGAGGAGCCCATAAGTGCTTTTTGTGATTACATGTACGATGTACATGTACATGTATATCCCACAAAAATGAAGATTTTTTATTTGTTTTGTTTGGTTTTTGCATTCTTTACTTTTTAAAAATGGGCAAATTTTATAACGAGTTGTTTTTGGACTGAATGAGTACTGGTTAAGCTCAATGGTAGATGTAGATACACATGTATGCACATAAAGTCTGTACATAAACGTACATCAAGAAGTTACATGTACCATAAAATCCAGTCTGTATAATCTAGAACTATAGTCTTGAAACTAGTTCATGAAGTTATTTTTACTTAAGACTGTGAGATCAGAAGGAAATGTCTCATGACCCGTACCCGTACTGCGTCATCTTGAGTGATCCCCTGTGGGTATTACGTCTGTAGTGTGGGGGGAAAAGGTTACCTTGGTGTGGTTGGAACAGTAGGCCTACTTGTGATTAACCCTCTTGTACGTGTACGTTGTTGGTTTGCAATCTAGTAAGCTTTGAGTGAGTCATTTGGCATATTACTCGCATATAATTTGTCTGTAAATGGCAGTCCGCAAATTTAAATACAATTTAAGATTTGCCACAAATGTTGTGATGATAAAGTTTCCAGCAGATAAAAAGTTTGGTCAATGACAATTTTTTTTTATGGTTTGTTGACCAATCCGGGCAGGCATGTGATGACTGTTCACTCACGAGGCCCCCATCAATGGAGAAACCATTGTGCACGCTGTTGCACATTGTTCTGAACAATAGCTAGCACAATGCGTTGGCCATTGAAGGGGCCTTCATGATAGAATTGATAGCGTGCACCGATCAGTCTATAGCACAGAGTGAGATTTTCAAATTGATTCAATTCGACTCGCACTGACATCCTCAATGGCAGTTCATGTAAAAGGTACTGTGTATGACCGTATGGCTCCGCGACCCAACACAAGAGGGCGCTGTTTTAGCACTTTTGGCGTGCGTGTACTGTACTATACTTCGCGCACAAAGTAGGCACGACTTATTTATCCTGAATGTACCCAAACTAAGCCATTGAGTCTTCGCGTGAGCCTCAGGCGTTGTCTGCGTGCGAAAACGTTCAAATTTAACTTGCGATTGTCTCCCAGACTAATCCCCACCCCCAATAACTTTGGATCATTCGAAATACGCATGAGATGGACCGGGAACCAGTCTAAGTCTCCCCCAACACTCCTTTTCTGGCCGTTGAAGGATATACCGGTACTTACCGGTACCGTACATGCACAGAACCCACATGTACATCATGTACATGTACATTGTAGTGTCAAGAAACATGTATGTACCATGCACAATGTGTCCCTGGGAAATACATGTATTTATAGCAGTACATGCAAGTTCAACCTCATTGAATCACAGCGTGTGTGGCTTGAACTAAATTTAGCCCAGCATGGGCAGATGGGAGGAGTATTACTCATGGAACTTGTCCTTCCTTCATCTTCTCTCCGGCTATTTTGGGAAAGTTTGGAAGCTGGGTAGGAGTGTATGTTTGTACTGTGTACATGTACATAGCCAGGAAAAGGTTGTCAGGTAACATTTTCCAGAACATGTTTGTCTGTGACCCAAACAGGATGTTCCTTGCAGCATGATTGCAGTCATTCATTGCATGATATGTTCGAAAAATTGCCCAGGATGCTACATACATGTACAGTATGTATGGTCTGGAAACAGTAAGTAGGCCTACGTGCACATACAGGGTGTCTCCAAAAAAATGTGGCAGTCAAGCAATTTCTTTTTCTGAGAAAACAAGAGTCTTTCTTTACCCTTGACAGTATTTTTTCTTTCTTTGTAATTTGGACCTTTTGTTTAAAAGTTACGGCAAAGCTTGTAAAGACTGTCAAAATCTGTTTGGGACACCTTCTTCACTTTCTTGGTATCTGAATGCCTTTCATTTTAAATAGATACCAAGTGGCCGAACTTGGAATTCAAGTCATTTCATTTAATGAGCTGTATCTCTGGACTGGGGTGTCCAAATGAGATGGGATAAAGACCATACAATGATACAGAACTTGTACTACTGTACATGAACCGGTACATCATAATGCTAAAATCCATCCTTTTCTGTTGTTGTGTTTATATGTACCTTTAATGTGTCAATGCAATATTTTGCATTGTGAATGTACATACATACAATGTACATGTACATGTATACTTGAGCCTAGTTTAATAGCATTTTTTCATTTTTTTGCTGTATTTGATATTTTTAAAAGCCAAAAACATAGGCCTACATGTTCAGCATTTGTTTCAATGTGCTGTTAACAAAGTTATCATTTCAATTTAATCAGAGGACATGAATCTACTTAAGCCATGTTGCTTGGTTTATATACATGTACAGTGTACCGGTACATGCTCAAAAATATCATTTCCTTGTCAAAGGTTACCGGGATAATTTTACTTTCCGATTTGTAACGTGGAGCTCTCCCAATATTCCAAACCGGAACCATCGTTTGAATTCTAAAGCCCTCACTTCAATTTGTCCGGTGATGACTGAGTACGTGCCATTGCTAAGCACAAGTAATGTTCCTTTAATGATAATCACCTTGATGGAATGGATCCTAGTGTCTTGAAGGAAGACCTTCTTGGCGTCCTCTTGGGGACTCGACAGAAATATCAGGCGGTGGATATTCACTGCACATGTTCATCACACCTCGCTCCGGTGACCTAAATGTCGACTCGCTTGTGTGGTGGTTCCTCCGCTGAAGATGGTTCACGGTTGCAAGCGTTATGAGTAACAGATTGTCGCATCTGTTGGTACACACATGAAGTACTCTAGAAATATTGATCAGATGACAAATTTGTAAGTGAGAAAGGTGTGGTCGTCTCTGTGGATCGGAATGTACAGTACATATGTAGCTTACTGTTCATGTTTTTTTCCCCTTGCTGTGTGTTTCTAACATCCAAAGTGCTGTGTGGATGAGGAAATTTTGAACATATTCAAGCTCTAAAATACATTTTGGTTTGTTATTAACTGAGTTCTCAGTATTCAAAGAACTTGGTACATCTTTAGCCGCGTTCCCATTGGACGTAATGTTGTAAAAAGGTTATTGTTGTGAGCGATTGTTAACATTCAATTGTGGTTATTCTAACGTGCCTTCGCACTTCAATTAATTTTGGCACGGAAAGTCATTTGTTACGTAAAACTAACAAGTAATTCTTCAGCTACCCAGTTGGCCCTGTAAAACCAGTCGACACTTGACAATTTGAGAAATTTACTGGCTGTTCGCATTGGACTTAATTTGGTTAAGTTGACATAAGTCTCCTTTAGTTTTAACCAAAATAAGTCCAATGCAAACACGGCATACATCTAACTTGCCAATGTGAAAAGTCACATTTTAATAGTGTGGACTTTATATATTGTCATTGTTATTTTCATCAGGAATGGTACATTGTTGCCTATGAATTAGGAGCGTTGTGGTCTGCAGCATTGAACTCATGGTCTGCAGGTAATTCTGCAGGTTGTGGGTTCGAGTCCAGCCTGGGGTTGTGGTGTGTGTTTCCTTGGGCAAGGCACTTTTGTCACTCATTGCTTCTCCCCACCCAAGAGTAAATTGGGTACCTGTGAGGGCAGAGATGAATATTGTGATTGATTTTGGCTGTTTTGCACCAAAATGGCAGCATTGAGCTGTATCCCCCCCCCCCCCACCCACCCCAGGGAGCTCAGATTGTCTTTGGAATGTTTCATTTTTCCACTGAGCAGGGGTAATAATAATGATGTATTGCATTGAGCACCAATAATGGTGGGTACGTGTGCTTTATAAGAAACGTGTTATTATTTTAAATGGTTACCTCGTGAGGTTCGTGCCCAGTGGCAAATTACACGTGTTCATACATACCGGTAATGTGTACATATACCTGTAGCTACATGTACATTTGTAGCTGGGGCATCAAAGGTTCACACTGTATGCTCTCAAACCATTATGTGATGTACCGGTAGTATACAAATAATGAATGTTTGTGAGTGCAATGGTAAGAATAATTTCATGAGGTGACAGATGAAATGTTCCATTCCACGAGGTGAAGCTGAGCAAGGGCGGATCCAGAACACAATTTTTTTGGGGGGGGGCAAAAAAATTTTGGTCCCCCCAAAAAGTGGGTCTAAAAAATTACGGCGTGGGGTTCGGGGCCTGCTAGGGCCCCGAAAAATTTTTGGATTCTAGATGCTCTGTGGTGCGATCTGAGGCAATTTCTGACCACTTTAACCAATTTTTTTTGAGGAAAAGATGGTGGTGTACTCATTGCCTGCCTTTATTGCGATGTCACATTAAAAAAAAAAAAAAAATTGGTTTCGTTTTGGGGGGGGGACCATGGCCCCCTTTGGCCCCCCCCTGGATCCGCCCTCGAAGCTGAGTGGAATGGAACATTTCATCTGTCACCGAATGGAATTATTCTTTCCATTGCACGAACGTGAAACATTCATTATTTGTTTTATATAACACCTGAATAAATCCTTGTCATCTGATTGGTTAACTTTTAATAGCCAATTTATTCAGGTTAAAAACTGTTTAAAAGTTCGACAAGTTCATCATATTTATATTAATGCAAACTGTTCGACAGGTTAAGAACAATCATATTCAATTTATCTCGATGTAAAACAGTGCCACCATCAGCAGCAGTGACACCGTGCAATGGAAGTTCTATTCACAGTGCAATAGAACTTCCATTGCACTGTGCGCTGCGCGCCACGCGCGCGCCGTGCGTTCGTACGAATAATTCAATGACATGTGATCAACAATCCACCAATAAGATAACTGGGATTTATTGAGGTGTTGTATAATATGTCCTGTCCACTGGTCTCTCGAATTTGCTAAAAAGCACCCCCTCTTTATCCAGACAGAGCCAAGGAGTTTGGAATAGTCGTATGCATCTCTAATGATCTACCTTTTTTTTCCTCCTTGTTCACTGTACTTCTCAGGTTGCTCAGATGAAGCTGACGCATTCAACACCACGGAATATACCGAACACCATCCTTTCAACAGACTAATCTGTGATCCGAGTAGCTTGTCCTTTGACGGAGTGCGCACAGGTCAAAGGTCATGTCTGGGTCACCAGATTGGGGTCGCTACTCCCAGATGAGCGACCCCGGAGCGGAGGAAGCCATGGGCATCGATGGGGCGCTGTCCCCGGCTCAGTCTGCCATCATACAAGCGGGAACATGGAGAAAGTAAGTCAGAGTAATGATATCAAAACAATCTTCCTTTTTGAGATAATTTGTGACTGTTTCACATTTGTGCTAAGGGAACTACCCTTTTTGGATAGTCAGTTGACGCCTTTAAATTTATATAAAAAACAGGAATTAGAGAGATTTTGTGAAATAACTTCAAATTTTCTTCTGATTATAGGTACATGGTTCTCCTCCTTGGGTTTTCTCCTCTCAAACCATGATTTGAAAATCATCAGAAACTGAAAGGGAATGAACTTGTTAAAAAAGAAAACAGGTTCAATGTTTGCACTGGGTCTGAAAGTACATTTCGAAGGCAATAAATGCAGCGTTGGGATGATTATACCATATTTTTCATTATAGCTGGATTGCAAACACCCATCACTTGTAACATTTACAATGGAACAAATGTGGATATTGGATATCCATCACTGTTATTTTGTGTTTTGGCATGTAATACTGGTTTAAACAGTGCACTGCAACAAGTGACACTGCCTAACATATCTTGTCCATGTACATACATGTACATGTACGTACAAGTACATGTACATGTATACGTGTACATGGTTCACGTGTAATCAGTATAAATACTGATTACACGTGAACATTTTGATTTATTTCTAACAAAGCTGTTACATCTGCAAACGTGCTGAGTTCTACACATATGGCTGCATCAATTGCAAATATCGTCATCCCTTCTCATCAAATGCCGACCTGTTGGGCCCAGATTGGTATAAATGACTCTGGACTCTGCCCGGGTGAGCCGAATCAAGTGCCCATTTGCAATTCCGAGGGTCTGCATAATGGTTCTGCAGCCCTTCTTCCTTCCGTGCCTTCGAGCGCTGCATGTAATTCGGTTTCAAACTGGCATATTAAGCGCTGGTTCGTGATCCATTTACAGCTGCTGCCGGTATTTACACCGAAATTGAATGAAATGCATTCCGGTCTCCGTCGATATGAAGCGTGTGATGTGTTGAGCTGGACCGACACTGAATTTTTTTGCCGGGTCTGTCTGTAAGCTGAAGAATGGGGGATGGAGGTGTGGGGGAATGTCAGGCATTTATTGATGCTCTCTGTGGTACTGTGCAAAGTAGCAAACGCGAACGGGACCTGTGAATTTCATAGCAAACACGTTCTTTGAATTCCTTGAATAACTATCATGTTGTTGCAGATCATTGATATTGTGGTGGTGTTTTTTTTTTAAAGTGATAATTGTGCTGTATGTGCAAGGTGGCTCGTTTAATTCATGAGGAATGTGCAGAAAGTAATGGCTGCATAGGCAGTCATTCGTGCACCATACTGTAGTGATTTTTGACAAGTTATGCTGAAATATAACACCTGTGTTAAAAATACATCTGTTTTGATTTATTTATGCACTGAGTCAGTAGTATATAGTAGTACTCAATGATGAGCAAAATCTGCTGAAAACAATGCAGAAAATCGAAATCTGGATCGGTCTCTAACAACTTTCAATTCCCATGTGTCGTAACTGTACATTGAAAAATGCACCCAACCAGAAGCAATAATTTTCATCCACTTCCCCTGCTATAGTTTTAACACAGGCTAGTCACCAACAGTCAAATCATACATGTATGTCAAGCAAGCACTGTGACTAGTCAAACTCAGTCAGCAGACCACGAACAGACAGAGCAGGCAAGTTGTGGGCACAGCTGGCGTATCAATTACCCACAGCCAAAGCACAGCTGTATCAAGTTACATAAACAGTCGCAGCCAGTCAATCCTGCTTTATGTATGTACATGTAGGCTGGGAATTCTTAACTGTTGAAAACAGTCACTTGATTGGTTTTGACTGAAAGGACTCAAGGGTGGATCCAGGGGGTGGCCAACATGGGCCATGGGCCCCAAAAAAACGAACCCATTTTTTTTTTTTAATTGACGTTGCTATAAAGGCAGGCACTCCAAACAAAAAATGGTCAAAGTGGTCAGAAATTGCCTCAGATTGCACCACAGAGCATTTAGAATCCAAAATTTTTCAGGGTCCTGGCGGGCCCGGAACCCCACGCCGTAATTTTTTTGACCCACTTTGTGGGGGACCAATATTTTTTTCGGCCCCCAAATATTGTGTTCTGGATCCGCCCACCCCTTGAAAGGATGTACATGTATACTTGGTAAAGAGTGTATTTTTGCAGGAGGGTTACTGGGGATGATAAATTGCAAACATGTAAACCTACTCTTTAGGAGTTCATACATAAGGGTACCGGTACCTGCCTTGATGTCAAATTAAAGTAAGACAGTGCAGTCACTGATATCAGCCTTCCTTGCAGCAGTCTTCATTTTGTAAGTTTGCTTTCAAAGACTGGGTAAGTGAAGTCCCCAAAATCTGAAGCCACACAGTGCCAGTGCTAGCCTTGATTTCTCCATGGAGCTTCTCTGAGTCATAGCACAAAATGTATGTCAGCCTTAAGATGTTATTGATGTACGTCTTTGTGCCTTGGAAGTTGTTAATCAAAAAGATACCCTGATTTGTCAACACCTACAGTATGGCACGTTGAATTGGTTTTTTTAATGTGCCATAGCCATAGGCCTTATTCTGGAACAAATGAGGGAGGTGTAATTAAAACGCAATTTGCACTGATTACAATGCATGTCCTAAATCGTGACATCAATGTACTGAACATGTACATTGTACAGTGTTCAAAAGGGAGTTAATTTCACACTATCGTCTGCCTATATACCCATGTTAAAATCAACACTGGTCCACCGGAAGTGGAACCAGTTCACATAAAACATGGGTAGACCCTAGCAAGGAACAAGGCATGTACATGTTCATTGTACTGATGTGATACACCGTGCCCTCTGGAGACGTGTGTACAATAGGGAACAGAAGATTGTATACATCTCCACAGGACAATTTCTATAGATGAATACGTCTCCACAAGATTTTCACGAAATATATGGATTTTACTCAAAAACTAGGAATTTCCAAGGTGGGTTGATCCATCGCAAATGGAAGAGTTTTAGAAAAGGGATATATATTAAGTCCAAATTTTAGCCAAGGAAATTAATTCTGGATAAAAAAAGAGCATTTTGAAACTTCACTTTCAAACTCGAAAACTTTACTACACGAGAACAAAGAAATGTCTCCACAAGGGTACACATTTCAGTATGTATGTTCACACCAGTGTGTACACTGCAGGTACATTTGTAGGCTGAAGAATTTTGATTTTCTCCCCGGTAGAGTCTGCCAACCCTGGTCCATACTGGGGTTGGATTTTTACCCTTTAGTACAGCGCCGGCCAAACCCGTGTACATGTAGAAGCCGTGTTGGATTCTTGCTAGTAATATGCAAGGGGTTCTCCAAATCTCTGTGTTGGACCATGGAGCATGGAAAAGGACCCAGTTACAACGCTGAGAATTTGGAAAAATATGAAATTGAAAGGCCCTTAAGTGTACCGAACATATACATGTAAGTGTGCCAGGCCTGGCTATATGTCAAACAAGGAGAGTATGATGAGCTAAAAATGGAAGAACACATACCTGATTTATAGACTCTTACCTTCAAAGCTGTCTGCAAAACTCTGCATCTTTCTATCTGCTGCCAACAAATGTGCGTGTGAAGCAAGTTCTCATATGGCTATACCATGATCAGACCACTACCACCTCCTGTTTTCATCTGACGTCAAGAGTCTAATGCTTGGTGGGTAGCAGTAATTTTCCCCTACTCGGCTCAAATGCAGTTTGACCCAGACATTTTTGGGAGGTTATTATGATTTACATTATGGGCAGCTGTTGGGTATCTTTAGCCCTGATCTCCCCCTCCCCCCCCCCCCCCCCCCCCTATGCTGTTCCCTGCCTGCTGTGGGTTTAATAAGCCTCCAGTCTAGTCCGGGAATGCGTGCTTGTAGTGGGATGACTGTTGGGAAATCAATTTACATTTCACCGTGGGCTTATGGGATATGGACGGCATTTTGAAAAGTATTATTGTCTCAGGGTTTTTTGTTTTGTTCAACTGATGAGAATACCGTTACACTCCGGAAGTAAATTTTTACAAATGTACGTGTATGTACATGTAATTCTTTGCGCAAACCATGTACATGTACTATGTAGTTTTGGACAGACCATGGAACTACATGTATATAAAATCCTTTTTTAGCTCCATGGGCAGATCACAGAAGATTGTCTAAAAAGCATCTGCTTTTAATGAATAGAAAACAATTTTTCTTGTCCTGGGCCAATTGGTTTTGACAGTGTTATGTCTCATTAGAAAACTTGACACTTAGGCCCTACGGCTAATGCTTAAATATGGGTTATAAGATAATTTGCAAGTTCTTCTTTTTCTATCTTTTGGGATGCCATACCGGTACATCAAAAAGCTTTAATGTCATGAATGTCACCACACTGCCAACGCCAATACACCGGCCAAAAAAACAAAAGGATGTCAGATTATTCTACTTAATTATAAGTACTGTATAGCGTTTAAAAATGTGTTGAGCCGATGATAAAAAGGCAACAGTTGTACTGTGTGAACGTATGTGAAATCTATGTGATAAATAGATGGGAACTCTCTGTGACAAGTTATAAATTGGTGTTTAAATAAATTATTGTTTTGACTTCAGAGTGTTTGATTGAACTTTCAATATCACTCCACTGTTAGTATCAGGAAATATATGTTTAGCAAAACTGGAAAGTTAAGGTTTTTTTATGTTTCAATCTTTTTTTTTCAAATAGACTGTTTTTGCTCAAAAAGAAAACAAATTTTGACACAAAGGATATTTTGAAGTATTGTTTTCAAAATAACAAAAGTGCTGATAAAATTATTGCTTTTTAACTGTTTTGTGATCGTTTCATTGATCTACGGTATATTTATCACGCTATGTATACATGTAAGACCAATGTATACATCTGAAACTCGTAACCCAAACATTAAAAATTAAGGATTATTTTTTTACAATTGAGGGAGAACAGTGTGATAAAATGTACTTGTAAGTTGTATACGTGCTCCCCCCCCCCCCCAAAAAAATAATTCTAAGAAAAGGCCTGGGCCTACGGGACCATCTATCTGCTCAGTGGCATCCGAAGATTGTGTCATCACTTGCTAGCAGTGTTGCAGCTGTTAAAACTCAAGAGATTCACTTTCAAGGTTGAACAATTTACGTGGTATAAACATTGACAAGTCCTGATTGCAAAAATTCTTTTCATATTGCACATAATCGCTTTGATACCATTCTTAGATGAGTGATATGGAACGCAAGGCATTCGACCTATCCACAAAATGGAGCTGAATTTTGAGGAGGATTTTCTGATGTAACTAGAACTTTATAAATTATGGGTACATTGTATTTGTCAATGCTTAGAAATTGATATACATGTATGCCATTCATATAGCAGTTATGTACTTTAAAAAAAAATTGAAAACAAGAAAAAATCATACCAAGCGACAAGACACAAAAGTCACAATTTACAATGTAACCGGTTGACATTCGTGGGATACAAAATGTACATGTAGCTAATGTACAAAACATGCATTGTACGTATGCAAGCGTACAGCAATATATGTTACAGGCATAACTTCAAATTTTTATGTGCCAATTTTGCTTACAAATAAACTATGACTACATAGGCCTATTACTCTACACTTTATGATTAACCTTGAATAAACCTAGGTTGTCAAAAAAATCTAACAACTCACCAAATAATCCAATCCAAAGCCAGTTCATCAGGAAAAAAGTACAAGTCCATTATCTTCACAATAACTTCATACCAAAGAACACCCTGGACTTTTTTATCACTGCCTCATAATGTCCATGCAATGATATGTGTCTCTTGAGAGACACCAAGCACTTGTTTTGGTTCTCCCCAGATGGCATCTGATCCCCAAGAATGGCTTTTGGGGTGCACTGGTTGACCCTGTCATTGGCCCACGGGGTGGTGTTATCGGGGAGTCTTGCTACCCAGCGCAGTCTAGCCACAAAGGTCACACGTTCTTGGAGCAACAAGTCTCGCTGTCATCATTACTTGAGACACTGTGGACCTACTCCTGGCGTGTATTTTGAGGAGCTGTGTTGGTAGCAAGCTGTGTCTCCACCCACATACCGTTGCTGATGCCACGGTCTGTGGAAGTTGCACACTGCGTGGTTCATGGTCTTCTATTGTGGAAAACATATACTGTACATGTGCCTGTAGCTGTACCGGTAGTTTAAGCTTATAAATATTGTCCGTACTGGTACATGTGTACATGTTTACAAGACAATATTACTGTAAGAAAGTACCTTTACGTGCTGAGCACATGTCCCGGACAGTATACATGTCCTGGACAGTATCGCTATTGGAAGAGTGAGTTCCCATGTCTCCACCCACATACCGTTGCTGTTGCTGATACCATCTGTGGAAGTTGCACGCTGCATGATTCATGGTCTTCTGGTATGGAAAAGTGTTCTACAAGCTAAAATACCGGTAGCATAACAAATTTGTTTGTAACAAGACAATGTGAGGAAGTGAGGAAGTGCCGGTACTTGTGCTTGTTCAGTATAAAGTGCCGCCCAGATGTCCACAGTATAGTGCTGTGCACATGTAGTACCACTAGTGAACTATTAACGGCAGACCATTACGAGTGCGATCCCATGCGTCCACCCACGTATTGCTGATGATACCATCCTTGGAAGTTGTACACTACGCAGTGTTTGTTCACCTGGTGTAAACCACATGTAAATGTAGTATTTTTCTGTACATGTTCCGGTACATGTTTACAAGACAACACCACTAGGAAATATTCCTGTTCACATTCTGGTAGTTGTGCCTGTGAAGGAATCTCAATGTTGCCAAATTGCTAGTGAGTTCTCGTCAGAGTCAGATACTTTCTCGAGATGTCGGTGTCGTCCTCGGTTGTGGAGGAGAAGAAGGTGAACCGTGTTTCCTTCCTGGATCCGGAGCTGGAAGGGAGTAGGAACAGCGCGGTGGGATCCAGGGAGGAGGAAGATGGAAGTTCCAGTAATCGCGAGACGTCTGTCATTACGGAAGAAGATGTCGATGGCTCGGAGGAAAACTTGTTGGAGCAGAATGCGAGGTAAAGCCGGGGGTGAAATTATGGTCATCATCTTAAGTTTCGTGACCATTTGTAACATCTGATCAAAAACAAATTTGGGTGATGTTTTTTTCTTTTACAAACATTCAAAACCGTACTTCCAGCCATGGCTATTCAATTACATGTACTTGCACGTAGATTTATACACACAGCACCTATACTTAAACTTGTTTCTTGCGCGTCCACAGAATGCAAAACACTGGATTCGCAATCAGCACTCAACACCTCGATTTTTGTGATTCACGAATTTAACCCCCGAAATTCATTCCCACATGGTTCTCGCAAGAATAACACAAATGCCCAGTTTCAAAAGGATGTTTGTGTGGACATTTATGTCTTACTTTTGTTTTAAACGCTCTTTCCAATAACACGTACTGGTAACATCGTATGTTTTGTTGCCCAAATTGGCACATTCTAGGATGCATGTAATGTCAGTTTAAGGCATTTGACCCTCTGTGTGGGAAAACTCAAGATACGGTAACACTACATTTAGCTCAGTAAAGTTAGGTTTGAGATTTTTGTAAAACAATGTTTTGAGCAATATCCTTCACATCAAGTTGGTAAAATATTCAGCAAGTTCATCTGATGTAATTCTCCATTGGTATCAACGATTGGCTGCGTATTTTATGTTCATCAGGCTTTTGAACAAGGAGTATACCGATGAATTGGCCATAATAATTTGTGTTACAAATTACAGCACATGTTTTTCTTATAAATGTTTCAATGGGAAGTAGCATGAAAACAACATCTGGGCTTACAATTGACATACTTTTGATCAACAGTGATGCACATCACTTTATTTCATGTTGAGGAATGTAATCGTCATGCAAGTGTATAAACAAAATTTTGATCATCCAGGATGTTTGTATCAAAATGAAAATTTAAATTACCTGGTAGGCCACAAAATGCCAGATGTTATTGTCCAGATGAATACAATGCTCTAAATTGACAATTCATCATTATCGATCCATTTTTAAGCTGCAAGTTGCAAAACTGATAGTAAATCCGTTTAAAGTACGTTGTACCCACACTTTAAATTTTATACTTAAATTTATACACGTGTATCAATAAAACATGTGCATACCAATGTAAATTGAATTTGGTATAATTGTAAAGTACTGTACGTACCGGTTCATGTATATAATAAGAGAGAAACTAACAGGTGTTTTGTGGCATGGCATCCCGGTGTCAGGAGGTCAGGTGCATGTTTATAGTCTCTCTGTGGCGGTGAGGTGACTGCCGGGATCCTTGCTAAGGAAAATAAAATACGCCCACACTAGTTCAGTGGTTAAACCGTTCAGTGGTTAAACTGCTTCCAAGTTCCAAGTACATGTACATAAACAATTGGAAGTGTTTAAGCTCACATCACTGATTTTGTCATTAAGTTGCCTTATTTAGAGGATGTCCAGAACTTTCTATTGGTAATTGTTACCAGGAAGGAATCTATTTCCAGCCAGACCATGCTGTATTACCATCAATATACATGTAACAGTATGGTTTGGAAGGAAAGTGAAAATGAGAACTCCTGTGGTTAAATGTGGGACAAATACTGTGGCTTGGGCTTATGGGTCTTTCTATAAAATTGGGGTTCACTTTTTCCCAACCCAACAAAAAGGGCTGTAAATGGCTCTGTAATATCAGCTTTATTATTGTCGCCATTACAGCCCTGCCGATAGTGCCGTTCTACATGTACGGTATGTATGCAAGATGTTGCTCCAGCAGTCGTATCTCTCACTTTGATTCCAAAAATCTTCCGAAATACATCACTGAACACTTTCATAGCGGTACACCATCATATTCCAGAGAGTTACATGTACACCATTCATAAAATATAAACTCAAGTTTACCAAAATCGTAAATTTTTCCATTTGACAAAAATGAAAAATATTCAAGCATGTTGTGACGAGCTCGCCGCCATCTTGGTTTGATCTGCCATGACCGTGCCCCTTCCTGATCTTGAGAAGTCAGGGCGCCAGGCTGTATTAAACAGGCCAGGTCATATATGATGACGTCGCACGGATTGATTCGTGCATGCGCATTCGTAATTATACTGAACTTAGTTTTGTTCCCAGACCAAAAGATTTTGACTAAGTAGTCAGAATCTTTTTCTCTGTCCCTGTTACATCTGACATGTACAATTTTGTAAATTCTGGATGCATTCCTAAATTTAATGTCTTTTCCCCCAATACATGTGAGCAAACTACGTTTGTTTTTTTGTACGTTGTACCTACATGTACCAAACAAATGAAAATAGTTGTTTTCAGTGACACTTGAGCGGTAAATTAAAAGGGTATACATCTAAAAAAAAAAACTCTCAAAGCCCCCTCTTTTTCACAGCTGTAAAAAAAAATACATGTACATCACAAATATCAGTATTAAGGGAGTATATTTCAGTAGCTTTTTAACACTGAAAAAAATCTTTCCAATCGGGTAAATCGTTATTGAGCTATGGCCAATTGAAAACAAGTACTGCTTTTTCGTTTAGTCCATGGTGACTGATATTTTGACTGACGCAATAAAAAAAAAGGCTAAAGCCGTGTCCGCACTGGACTTTTTTTGGGGAAGGTTTTACCGAGACGATGGTAAAATGAGAAATGGTCAAATGTGACCACTGTCCGCACTTGGACTTTCGACACGGGAAAATTTACCCAGACCGCGTGGGAGAAGTAACCGAGCTGTCACATTGTCAGTATAATGACTCACCGTACACAGAAAACAAATTGCCGATCACATTTTCAGCCGCCGATACACACAGTAATATACACACGCCATTTGCATGCACAACATAATCGTTTACACGATATTATTTCATCTTGACACGCTAAATCTTGACGAAAAGGCCTATAATTCTGACGCATTTGTAATGCACGTCGTCGAAGCCATGCCGCTGTACGATGTTCCGTGCGGCAGCAGTGCCATCAGTATTCGTTGGTTCACATCGCATGCTTACAGAATCGAAGCTATGATGTGGGCCAGGAGCCAGTGACTACGGCCTACGTACGGTACCGGACCATGATGTTCCGTGCATGACTACAGAAGCGTATCAGGACTAATTTGGATCGTAGAAAATAACATACATCGGTGGAGAAAGAGAATTTCCGCAAATTAATTCTCAGAACGTGATCTCTCTTCTCTGTATATGTATTTGTCCGTTGAAATATATATATTTTAACGAGATTTTACCGCTCGGACTTGACACCGCAGCGTGTTTCTACAAAATGTTCGGCCACTGCACATGCAGGTTCGTGCGGTCTCTGTATGCATAACAGGGTGCTCGGGCCGGATGTACGCTTTCCTGAGCCGCTTTTACCGACTCGCACTGTCCGCACTGGACTTATCGTCTCGGGAAAAGTGACCTGGTCAGTTTTCCTGTGCGCGTGGGAAGTTTTCCTGGGCAGCAGTTGGCCAGTAAAAGTAACCGCTGGACTCAGGAAAAGTAACCGAGAGGAAAACGTCCTAGGCTGTCCGCACTGGACTTAAAATGGGAAAAGTACCCATAGTCTCGGTTAGTTTGACCAAAAAAAGTCCAGTGCGGACAGGGCTTAGGGCTACCAAGTAGAGGGCAGCGACAGAGCAGCACAGTATGTTTCTAAGACGTTAACCAAACAGTCCTTTTCAGGACTACCATTACTTCCAAAAGGGTAAATGACCATTGTTTAAAAGGAAAAAGAACCAAATAAAAGAAGAAAGACTGAAACATTTAAGGATGCAAAACTACACTGTACCCTCATCCCAAATCCATTACATTCCTAAGTTACAATTAAGACCCTGGACAGATTGAAAAATTGGCGCATATTTTGATTTGGCCACAACTCAATAAACATTTACCCAATTGGAAAAAAAATTTGTTGGTAAAAAGCTAAGGCCCCCCAAAAAAGTCTCCGGTTTCTGGTATGGAGCTTGCCCAAAAAAGTGGTGCGGCGACGCGGCTTTTTTTTTTTTTACCTGATTTTTTTTGCCTCAAATGTCGGCTGATGACTGCAAATGGTGCCCGACTAAACTTAGTGCAAACATATGGGAGTCCAGAGAGGCCACATAAAGCTTATTCTCGATCATAACCCCATCCAAAAACACGTTAAAATTGTGCAGCAGCAGGATTCCAGTCAAACCAGTGAGTTTGGCGGTTCTGAGACATCATCTTTCATTGGAAAAAAAACTTTTTCATTTTGCCGACGCGCATGGCTACGGCGACGCGCGCGCATACCAGAAACCGGAGACTCTTTTTTTTTGGCCTAATGAACTACATACACTCTCCATATATGTTTTGATATTTGCGAGGTACGTTTATAAAGCTGTGAAAAAAAAGGGGACTTTGTAAAACGTACACATACCGGTACATGCTGTACATGTACGTACATGTACAGTGTACGGGCACAGTGTACGTGTATAACAGGAAAATGTGACACAAAAAAATGTCATGGATGTATAGCATGAATGTAATCACTTCTAAGCTTGTAAAGGATCTATGTTTACAGTGTGCAACTTCCTTCTAGAAGATACAGGGTATGTGAGAAATCTTACCACAATGTTGTTTTAAATGTTAACTAATACTAGCCCTGGATGCGTGGATATGATAACACACTCTTCCCAAAACAAAATATCCTAAATCCGGAATGATTCAGCACTCAGCAAAGGTTGTTTTGGTTGCACTTTTTTAAATGGGGAAAAACTGTCCATAATGTTGAAATTTACATTTACAATTTGTTGGTCTTTCCTCACAAAATGTTGTATTACATTTGTTTTCCAGAATGACCAATGTTTGAGCTTTATGTATTGTGAGTTCATGGGGGGGAAAAAAACATGTGCTGCAAAGACATCTTTCCAAGATTTCGGCAGGTTTTACAAAAACCTCCCAAACCATTAAACAAAACACAGGAAGAGTTATTGACTCATTTCAAACCCATCAGAGCCTTGATTCCAAGAAAATCTTGCTGCTGGTAGAATTTTTGTGGTCATCTTGAATGCCATGGAAGCAGGAGTGT